GAGAAAGTACTGGCAGTAAATGGCATGGGTGAAACCGTACCGTCAGTTCCGAGAAAATGAGCTGATTAGTTTTCTGATCGCGATGGACTCAATTACATTACTCTACTCTTACAGTACGTGCGCCTGTCTTTTGTGGTCGGATTTTCGTTCACATTCAATGAAGGACCATACAACGAATGCAGCGTTTATCACCCGATCGTAGGGACTGTTTCCGCCACCTCGCCGGGGACGATAATGGCGATTAGTTATAAGTCGCAACAGCTAAAATAATGGACGTAGTAACCCCCCACAATCCTCGTTCCAAGTCCAAATTAGAGGAAAAAAAATCGACAACAGCTAACACCCTTTTTGTACAGAAGGGCTCCACTTAAATAAATAGACGCACTGGGTTAGTTATGGGGGTGCCGATGTTAACGCGAATCAGGGTGATCTTCGCCTACATTAGGACTGCTCTATCAACTTAAAGTCGCCTGATGATGCTTTGGAATCTCACGATGTCGGAAATGATAAGATTCTAGGAGTGACGGGTGATTAGGCTGCATGTGCGAGCATGAACCAATCCTATATTCTCACATGACAGCCAACAATGCGTCTATTATAGACGTACCACCGTCTAGTCAAAGTTGTTAAGAAATTTATTCGCCTGACTTCTCGAATTTTTGTTCGAAACCATCATCAGGTACGGGTACTTCATACACAAGGATTTGCAGTAGTTATAAGATGCAGTTGCGTAGGGTTGCTATACCGTCGTGTTGAAGGGTGCTGCAGTAAACTGAAAGAAAAGGTTATCGAAATTCAATATCTCTGACGGGTGTTCAGAGCAAATGGCTACCCGCGCAGTCTCGTGAACTGGTGCATACACAAACGAGATGAGCGAAGAAATCGCACAGCTCGCAAATTTTGGAGAGTGCATCTGTACTTCAAGAGCGTCTCGGAGACCGCTAGCCGCCTTCTCGCACCGCTTGGATTTGGAGTCGCACACAGACTGGAGGCAACCATTAGGCACTCAGTAATGAGACCAAAAGACCCACTGCCACAGCAAGAAACAGCTAGAGTCGTTTACCAAATCGGGTGCAGTTGTGGGCAAGACGGTTACGTCGAAGAAACTGGAAGTGAGCAAATGAACGAACACGCGGCAGCAGTGCGGAGAAATGAAGCCAACTTTAAATTCGCGGCTAATTCGACGGTACCCGGCCATACATTCATGTTCAGTGAGGTTGAAATTCTCGCGAGAGATGATAATCGCGTGAGCCGCCAGCTACTTGAGTCATGGTTCACGGGCCCCTTGTCTATTACGAAGCGTAAAGACCTGCCTACCCTTTATTCGGTTCCTATACATAGTTTGGCTAAATGTATTAGCCACTCAGGTAGCGCGTAGGCGAACTCTGTTTCCAGTGGCGGGGCTGTTGAGCCATATGAACGAGCAATCATCACGCCGAGCTCCAACATGGTTGGTAAAATTTCCGAAATTGTCTACACGAATTCCGACTATCGAACAATTAGCGCACAAACCGACAACTGTCCTCGGCAAGGCGAGATA